TGATCTGTCTGTCTCTCTCCGGCAGCCTTTTACAGTGCATTGGTCTCCCTTCAAAACGGCACGTTACGTGCAATTCCAAGGTCTGAAGCCTGATTACCTTCTCCTTGATATTTGGGGCCACAGACCGATCTCCCTCTCTCTGTCTACAGTATCGTTCCGCAAAATTGAATGACATCACCGCAAGTCGGAAATCCTGATCTAGCTCCACAGCTGATCATACCCATCAACTCCCTAGTATGCGTCATCCTGGACATAGCATCTTGAACATTATGGGATCTAGCTTCCTTGATATCCACATCGAAGGACTATGCTTCCAGTTTCACAGTCCAGGGTTATGCTGTGGTGGATTTTCTGCGAGCTTCAAGTACAACGAAAATTTAGGACGTTGTTAAGCTGATAAATTTGTTGGAGTCTCAGGATACAGAGCCTGCCGGAGCAGAGTTTGATGCAGTCTTGTAGAAGATTCCATTTCCGTTTGTGGTGTCCTGGGGATCTGAATGGGAAACAGAACTGCAGACAGGATGCTGGGGACCCTCATGTCCGGGTAGAGGAGTCAATCGTGATTATTGGCGATTGCAGATTCCTGAATTTCACCTGAAGCCATTCGAGAATGTCAAAGGTTTAAGCTCTATAAATAAGTTCAATCTGTAAAATGTCTACATATTATACTATGTCAGATATATAGCATCTTATCTCCGGTTCATTGACGCAGTTTTCTGTAGATTCAGTTTTCAGGTTGCGTTTACATCCTGTAGAGGGCCGACGCATGTTAATGGACGCAACGTATGACATATTTTTCTTCAGAGGATCTTCAAGGTGAGTAGTGTCTCAAATTGCATAACTGAAGTTACGAGGTAGCTGTATGCATTTATGCGTACAAGGTCGCACTAGGCCTGCATATTCTGAGGCACTGCTTCAATTTAATAAGTGTCCCTTATTTTCTGATTTTTCCAGATTACAGACCTGAGTCCATGACTTTTCTGACTGTTTGGTTCAGACTAAAAAATGTTTAAGCATACACAACCTGTATATGCCGTGGACTGGTAATGTTCACAGTTAGTCCAACATTGTTTGCCGCAATTACAACATTTCTAGACAAGTTTCGCAATATATCATCCAACGTCCTGGACATGAAAGGTGTAACGCCAACTTAGCTTTCAAATTACATCTTGAAATATTTGTCAAAGGTTATTTCACCATTTTAAACGATGATTAATTTTGTGTCCCACCAGCTTGCAATTACAAATCCCGAATAATGTGGGAACTAAGACTTGCAGTTCATGTTTCGGGCTAATCAGAGTCTAATCCGTTGAAATGCGTGTCTCGAGCTCCATATGCGTTCTGACATCTCGTTAGGGCCCTTCCCATTATGTCTCATGTCGCACTCCTTTAACGTGTGCTAGCATCGTCGGTAACTCACCATAAAGCTTCACAACCAGAACATCAAAGTTGGGGGAAAGACTTCAATTAAGTTACTGAGAGATTTTTATTTTTTATGTAGAGCATAAAAAAATTAGATAATTAAAATTTTAGACATCGTTTAGGATATTGATTTAATTTTATTAGAATTTCTACAATAATACCTACTATTAGTTAAATATTTAGTCATGTTTTTAATTAATATTCTATGAATTAATTTTTTATTAATATTTTATATAATAGAATTAACATATTAATGAAAAAAAATATTATAAATTATTGTGTTAAAATATTTAACTTTAAAAACTAGTTTTAAAAAATATTTTTTAAGTTTTGTACTTTTTAAATCCTTAAAAAGAATATTTTATTCCAATGAGTAATGCAAACCACACTTATAAGTTTGCAAGTACTTAACTAAATAATTCAAATTAAACTTTGTCTAGTAGATAGTACAAAATAACTTATATACATCAATGCTAGTATTGTGCATAATATATTATAGATTAATAGAAGTTGGTAAACTAGTTTTTTAAAGTTTTTTCTTAAAATAATTGTATCTAAAATAAAATATTCTTACCAAATGAAGGTGTTATGTTTTATCATATTTCATGAAATTTATTGCTATTAGTTATAACAATATTTCTTATAAAACTCAATAAATTAGATAGATTTTAACAAATTATAATGGATTGAAAGACAAATCAAATGTTCAATGTGCACAAAACAAAATATGATAGATAAATTATATATGAACTTTTGTTATTTAAATATAATAAATATTTATTTGTTAAATTCGAGCTTGTATATACAAATAATAAAAAAAAATAATAAGAGCATAAAAATATAGAAGAGCAATTTATATGGATTTTTTTTGTTTTTTTTTTGTTTGTTTGTTTTTTTTTTTTTTTTTTTTACTTAGTTTCTAAGACTAATATCTGTTGGTATCAGTCTTAGAAACTAATATCTGTTGATACCAGCAGAAGTGGTTTGATGTAGATTAAAAATATGATTTATTTAGTAGAAATATATTTTAGTACTTCTATTTGTGCTCCTTGTATTTTATAATTAAAATATGTAATTTATTTTTTATTATAATTTTAAATATTTTTACAAATTATATATAGATATTTATAAGAAATTAAATCATGATTGACTTTCTAAAACAAATCTGAGATAAAAACTCACAATATGGTTGTTCAATAAAAGAAAAGGAAAGAAAAAATCTGATTATTTTCATAAATAGAATATTTATTTTTTAATTGTGAAAAATTAAGATTAACACGGGATAATAAAAATGTACATGGAATAAAAAAAACTAACAGGACTAGATCGTGCTTTTATCTCTAAATCAAGATATTTGATTTTTTTCCAAATTTAATTTGAGTATTATTAAAAGATATTGTACATTATTAAATTAATTTTTATTAATCATGATCTAACTAAAGAAACACCTTACAAAACAAAAATTAAGGGCATTTCTGAAATAGAGTTTAATTAAGGGTTTAGAAAGACATGGCAAGATACAAAACCATCTTTATTTTTTAACAGTACATAAGATGGTTTTTTTTTGTAAGAGATTTTACAAAACTATCACAATTAAATCTTTAGAATAGGAAACTACTCCAAGAAAGCGATTCTCTATTGGTATAAAGAATTTGAATTTAACCCTAAAACAAAATCTCCAAATCCAACACATAATATTAGGGTCTTTTTTTAAGCTTGTTATTTTTTTTTAATTATCTATCTATCTATCTATCTATCTATCTATCTATCTATCTATATATATATATATATATATATCAAAGCTAAAAAAAATAAAAATAAAAAACTATTATCTCAAAAAAAAAAAAAAAAAAAAAAAAAAAAAAGGAAAGAAAGAAAGAAAGAAAGAAAGAAAGAAAAAGATAGAAGACTGGTACTTGTATAATTAGTAGCAAATAATTACAAAATTATAAAAAATTATGAAAATAAAATATATAAATAATATACAAGTTGTCTTTAAAAAATTATAAAAGTATCAAATCATACCCAATAAATTTTAAATTTTAACCTTATATGTATTGAACCATCAACTAAAAATATATTTAAATGGTTTTAAAAAATATTACAGATAGAGATAAGACTATATTTTATAAAAAAAAAAATGTTAAAATTAATAATAATTTTTCAATACAAGTATAGATTTACAATACTATTTTAATTATTGAGAAAATATCCAAAAACATAAATATATATCCAAATAAGACATGCCTTACATGTTTGTATCATAGTTTACAAGTTGCTTGTAGTGAGCTAATAAAATTAAACAACTATTGTATATGTAGTAAAATTAATGTGTCATACTAAGTGCAATGCAAGAACAATAAAACATCAAGTTTTGCAATCCAAACAAATCTTCAATTCAAATGATTAATTTAAATTGAGAATCTTATATTGTGCAATCTTATAAATTTTATTTTCTCTTTGTTATTTCTACCATAAATTTTATAAATTACTTAGATTATTATAAGCCTTTAGAGATAAATATTCTTAATATTAATGCATAAAAAAAATTTTAAAAATTACTAAATATGTTTTTAATGCTCACATAGAAATAAAATATGATTATTTTTTACATGATAGTAGATAACCATGCATGTATTCATACATATTAAAGTACTTTAAATCTTCAAGATTGCTCTTTGCTCACATTTTCCATCTACATTAAACAAAACTTCATCTCTACATGATAGTTTAAATTCTCAAATTTGTCCTTTTTCATATAACACAACATATAGATTTGGATTAACATCAACATTAAAGACGTTTGACTCATTACATTTAGTAATATTTTTATATTTTTTTATTTTTTATAATTATGCAATAAAAAAATTCAACCTAGTCAATGATAACTTTTGTGAAATTGCTTAAATGTAGAAAACACTCAAAAATTATGTTGTATAACTTTTGAGTGTGCCAACAGAGTTCACAAGCTTGAATTTATTATTTATTTTATTAATTTCTTTTTACTTCTAAATAGATTTGTAGCAAATTTTAAGACTCTATAGTAAGACCTAAATTATAAGAATTGATTTTTGTAAAAACTTGTATAAGTGTTTAAAGAATTAATACATTTTGCAAAATGAATTTTAAGGACTAATCTCGATTCTCAATTAGAGTAACAATATTGCTACTTGCTAAAAAAAATAATAGAAACAATTTAAATAACATTGTAAATATTCAATATTCACTGTTGAAAAGCCAACAATATAAATTCTTTAAAAACCACATCACATTTGTAACATGCTATCTATATTTTTTATTAATAAAATAGGTACCCTGCTAGTGAATTATAAATGAAATGCTTCGACTCTTACAAATAAGTGATAATTGATATAAAGTGGTGAAGAATGACTCCAAAATGTTTGATAAAGCAATGGTAAAATCAAAAAAAAAAAAAAAAAAAAAAAAAAAAGGTCTAAGAAACCCTCAATTTGGTTTCACAACCCAAAAAAAAGAATCCAAACTCAGAAAAGTGAACGGACTAATATTGACTCCGGAGAGCTGTCGGTATCTAGATACAGATTTATAATACAAGGCAATTCTTCACCGACACGATAGTCCGACAACCAAATATGCTCCATCTTACTGCAACACAACATGTACAATACATTCGAATCATGTTCGAACGAGCTCTAAAACCAACTGGGATGCTGCATCACATCAGTTACGAATCCAACAAATGGCGAGAAAAGAACACATCCTCTTTCCAGAACTGCTACACAACCATCTCTGCATTCAGTCTTCTAAAACATAAAAATGAACATGCCTTTATCAACAATCGTGGTTAAAGGGTGTGTTTCTGGCCTGGATTTTCCCTTGAGTTCACTTTCGTGAAGGTGCTTCAGCTAAGAGGTCCTTAAGCGGTCGCAATGGTGCAGTGGTTTCTGCTATCGCTTCCAAAACTTTATTTCCAGCTAGATCCAAGTTGCTCACGCAAGCGGCGATCAATTCTGCTATCTGCTCAAAAGAAAAAATCAAACGAAGACATTTCAGTAAAGGCGCAAGCCTTCGGATGTGGTGGTCTACGCTCCAGAATGCAACGTTTGCAGGTTTGAACTTTAATGTGGAGTGATACGTGATTCATACTATCAAACAATGCAACAGTGGCTTCTTACCCAGATAGAAATGGAGCAATCTCTTGTGATTAAATGTCTAACAACTCGAGCAAATCATTGAGTTACTCTACTTGGAGAATTAGGTCACCTGAAGAGAGGACACTTGACCACCAGAATAGGTGTCCTTGGGAGCGAGGATCAGATTGTGGGTTTCCTTGTAAGCATCTGTTGGCCTTTCCATTCCTCCCGGCCTCACTATCTGTGTCCAAACAACCGAAAAAGCTTCAGACAAGACAGTATAGGCGACCCAAAAGCTACTGATATAGACCTCAGTGATCCGCTCATCCACAATCAAAAGAAATTACCAGATTGCAGAATACGGCATTACATAACGAGCTTAACAGCTAAGAAATTTGTATTGCAGATAAATATTGGTGCTGTAACACTCACGGTGTAAGACAAACCGCTCTCCTCTAGAGCCTTTTCTGCTTTGGCTTTCCAAATAAGAACACCCCAAAACAAGCTGCACAATAACATCAACAGGTATTGAAATACGAGGAACGACTTCATGACACAATACTACATGAAATATTGTTCGTCATCGACGTCAATTGAAATACAACATTGAGTCTTAATTTTAAGATCCCCATCCTACTTTCTACTGTGCATGACGTCCAACGCCTCTAGAAAAGCTACTGTTTCTTCTCCTCAAAAGATTTGCGAGGAAAGTTAGAATGTTTACTTGAGGATTGAAGCAGGCCATCCAAACTTTGTTGTACCCAGGGACGAAACCAATATGAAATGGTTGACTTTCGCACTTGTTGCTGCAAATTAAAGTCCTTGTGTTGGTTGGTGCCGTAGAGCAGTACGCACGGACACGCAGCACACTTCCAAGCCTTCCTTATCACTTCCTATTCCAATGTGGACTAGAACTCTAACTTACAGAAACTCGAATGCCAGTCTTATGGATTGAGCAGTCCTTACTTCAAACAATTTTCTTTGAGGAGAAGGGAAAGTAGGGGAATCATTCAACGCACAGTCACAAGTATCTAAAAGCTCAGCCATTACTTACCAGCTTTGATCAGATTCTCAGTGGCCTTGTAGTCGATCCGATAAGGACCCGTGACATCCGAGATTTCCTTCTCACTTGCACCAATTGTGCACACAACAACCCCAGCATCTCCCAAGCAGCTTTCGATCGCGTCATTCTCCAGATCACACTTCACGAACTCCAAACTTTCACTCTTATCTGTCGCCTGGAAGGCCACAAGAGCTCAAGTCGGCTTGAAAAGATACCAGCACATTTTTGGTTCTACAGAGTTAATCAGGAAGCAGAAGAGAGTTGAATGATACTATGAATTTTGAAACAATAAATGCTTCGCACACAAATGGATTTCTTAGGAGTTGGACACGAATTACTGATTTGCACCTGAAGTACGACTACGGCTAGGACCCAGGATTTAAGTCAGGACCAGCATACCTTAAGTACAGCTTGCCCTCTAGAAACATCCCTAACACCTGCTCGCACTTGAACACCGGATTTGAGAAGCTCCCTGTCATCTCATCACTAAACTTAAGATCCACGAAAGGAAATATTCGACCATGGCTACTGGGTTTTCCAATAAGTAAAAGCTTCCAACCGGAAACGGGCAAGATAGGTATACCTGACCGTTCTTGATCCAACTTTGCCTGTGGCTCCAGCCACAAACACAACATTGTTGTTCTTCTTCCCCGCCTCTAGCTTCGAGGTGTCACTTGATGCCTCTTTCGTCACATCCTGGGTGCCTGTAGACCACATTCTCTTAACTAAGAACCAGAGGTCTACCTCCCGATCTAAAAACTCAACCAGGGTTTCTTTACAATGATGTACACAAGAACGTGGGAAATACGCCTTTCAGGTATTGCTCTTTTCTTACATGACTTGCAAACCAGGAGACGAGATTCTGCTAGGGCATCTAAGATGTTCCAGATATGATCAGGATGTAAACAATTAAATAAATTTTCTCTCGCTATAAATTTTTTTAGCATCGAGTTCTCTCTGCCCACATTCGATGGATAAGAAAATCTGAAAGATGATTTTCCGCAGAATGTTTCTACTTACTGTTCTACTTCCCTTCGATAAATTTTCAATGGCACGTCGGAATGTTCCACACTAACAAAAACTGCCAACAATTCTAAAGATGGCTTTTAGGTCACAGCCATGAACCAAAGTTAAGATCAATTCATCCATTGCACCACCAGGGCACTACATAAAACGTGTTGATGAACGCGTGCGAATGCAGACTCAGTCCGACTGATCTATTTCCCTGGTGGCACCAAACTTAAAATGCCAGCAATCACTTCGGCATCGCTCCATTGTGAGTAAATCAACACATGGAATTCAAGTGATCGCTTAATCGGCAATACTCTTTTCGCTCAAAGTCAGTCTCTCTGTATTACTCTGTCTAGTTTCAAGGGGTAGAAACCAAGCCCCGCGTACATGTGAGAATCTTAGTATCGAAGTGGGAAGTTCATAGCGTACTCTTCAAACATGCGACGATCATGGGTATATGAAAATCTTAACACAACGTGCAAATTCTCCAATTGGAACAGGAATTGCAGGTGGCAATACCACTCTGAGCTCGAATTTTGAGTAGAGCTCTCTCCCTGCTGCACATGGCATGACCGCTCCGACCAGCAGCAATGCTTCGCGCTCCACCGATTGATGGAGATTGCAGCGTAGTGTGCATTTCGTTTCCCTGTGCTCGCGATACCGGCATCTGCATCACAGGTCCGGGGCCAGCCCGAAGTAGCATTGACGTCGCCATCGCCGTCACCACTTCAAGACAAGCTGTCCGCCCAGCCCCTACAAATCACACAGAAGCTCCGGTGGCCTTGTGTTTTCACCAATCACACCTCATATCAAGCAACACAATTCTCCTCCAAATCTCATCGCGTCTCATCGCTGCAACCAAGTTCATCCGGTCATTGCAAACTGGTTCAGAAACGCAACCACAAACACGCTACAGATACACTCTGAAGAGAGAATTCATACGTTCTGTCAGCGATTATTGATTTTCCGTCCGTCGAACGAACATTCACTCGCATGTTCAGGTGGGTCCACGACAAGTGGATGAGTGGCCCGGGGACACCGAATTTGGATTCATGGAACACAATCGCGACGCTCATTGGCGCTGCAGGATAAGGAAGCCATGTCTCCCCGGATCCGCCCACAGGTTCCCACGAGCTGCGTATCCTCTTCCAGAAACTGATTTCATGGTTAAAATTGCTTATTCTGGAATAAAGATATCACTTTACACATGGTTTCTGAAGCATTAGGTTCCGTCAGAGGTTGAACCATGCAGAAAACATATCGTGGCAAAAGTGTTCTATGAATGTTTGGCGGGTCTAATCAATGGATTTGCCTATCCAGTTTCTCAGATTTGATGCGTGTTTCCCGATGGAATGGTCCCACATGAAAGTAGATTGCATCAGATGCTAATTAAAACGCAGATAGAATTTGATACACAGTGGGAAGCCATAGAATGTCTCACATTTCCTTGCCATTTCATCAACGAAGTAGCATAAAATGCAGCGACAAGCCCAAAGATGACAGAACGGCAGTTTTTCTTCCCTAGACTCGAAAATTGAAGCAATTTGGACTAGAAGGATTATCACGATTAATTGTTCATGAGCTTGACAAGTTCATCTGACAGCTCTTCACAACCAAGAATGAGGTTCACATAGTTCATCGTCTGTGTAGATTGAGCCAGTGACAATCACTCAAGGCTGTCCCTGTTAAGTTTCAAGGTACGAGCTGGGGAGACGTTCACAATTGCAGTCTTGAAAGAGACGATGATTAGCGCATACAATCTGCAAATATGGACCAAAGGACACTCAGGTTTAGGATAATCAAGAGAAGAGAATGGGAACGAGGATCATGGCAATGTTGCGCATTAATGATGCATCAAGGCGTTGATTGATGCAGCAAAATCACATGACCAGGACTGCGAACAATCCGAAGGGATCCTTGCTTTCTAAGGCTGCAATCTTCTTCTCTTAAAGTCTCCTACCTCATTCAGCTTGGAAGGAATTTTTCCAGCTGCTCCTTAAAATCCCATCCCAACCGCGATCGGACCAATCTTCAAAAATCGACCGGATTCTAAAGAAACGAATAGTGATCAGGTTACCCTAAGGGTAAAGAAACCAATGGAGGATAATACACACTGAGAAGGTTTGCCCACAGCTCAGTGCATACTTAAAATGCGACAAATTGGGGGTGGAAGGATAGAAGTACACATCAACTGAATGTGAGGAGGAAGATGAACAAGACATCCGGAGGTGGGGGTGGGGTGGGGTGGGGTGGGGAGGGGGAGGAAGGTTAGGGGGAGTGGGAGCACTGAAGAATGGGATTAGGACTTCGATTCCCCGCGTAGGACAACTAGTTCATGCAGGAGTTCCGGCTTTGTGGACCCGACATTGAGAACACAACTTGGGGCTTTCAAGGGTCGGGCCATGACTTGCATATAGCCAAGCCGACAGGAAGAGTATAAATCTGATATCTCCTGACCAAAACCCTTTGCCTCTTCTCTCCCTGATTGTGCCAACAAAGAATCTTAGAACCCAAGCTAACCGGAATGTTGCTCCGAGCTGCCTCCACTAGAGTATTGTTGCTGCGAGCCTGATGGCACTGCATACTGTTGCGGAGATACCTGCCCTGCTACTTGTCCAGCAGATAGACTAGGAGATACACCTGCCCACAACCAACCCCTCGAATTTTCAATTCCATTGCTGAAAGGAACACAACTTGCAACACCAGGTTGACATGGTAAAGATTATATGAGAACAAATAACTTTAGAAGTAGTAAGGCACCAAACGAGAGCATGGCTTTTACATATAAATCATCGAAGACATATCTGCACCGCCTATAAGCAATAAAATAATCAATCACGGATGGTTAATGGTTTAAAATATAAAGCGATCTCCTGGATTATGAAAAGAGAGTCTCAAAGATGAGAAGGAATTTTGTGGCATTCCAAAATTCGAAGACTCAGACCTCTATCGTACACCTTGTATCAAAATAAACTCAGACCAACAAGCATTTCACTAAGAACGACAGGATAAGTCAAAGTTGTCTGTCTGATTGAACAACTGGTTACTTCAGGATCTTCTTCAAAAGAATTGACAAGGGGTTTCTTAGAACGCAAACACTACAGCTAAACTCTTCACCAGATGATTTCTATAGTTTCAACATAGGATAAAAATAAGAAGCCAGGAATCAAAATTGACTAACCAAGAAAAATCTCAGAACAAAACATGACATGAAGACCAACAACTAGTTACTAAGGTCAACCAGCGTTCAATATCAAGCTACAACTACAAGTCTCTCGATGTCCGAGCGTCAGCCAATCGATCAAGAGCTAATTCACAAGCACTTGACATGATTTTTAATTTGTAAACTACGTGAATTTCATGAATAATTACTGGTTAACTTATACTGTGAATTATAAGTGAACTATGGCTCTGAAGGAAGCTAGCAAAAACTTGATTATATATTTCTAAAGCGACTAATAACGCGAGATACACCATGCTCCATGCAGAGGCGGTAGCCACCCCATGAGGCTGGACGAAAATACAAACCCCTGAGAAAGACTGTCCATAAACAACACCTAAGGATTCGAAACGGAACACATTATCAAGCCAGTTAATAATGCACACATCACAAAAATTGCAAAGGTCAATTGTACCTCCTGCAGGCGTCGATGCAGGAAGAGACCCTGAGCCAGAGTACGGCGGGGCCAAAGTGGTCAAACCGGCAGCAGCAGGACCGTACAGCTGTGGTGCTTGATAACCATACTGTGCAGTTCCGGGGTATACAGGACCCCCTTGCAGTGGCTGAGTCGTAAAAGACCCATAAGGATACACGGGGCCTGATCCAGGACTAAGAGCACCAGGCGCTCCATACATCTGCGGATACTGTGGACCGCCGTATTGGAACAAGTTCTGCAAAACAGAACATACAAGGTAACGATGAGTGTGCAACATTCTTCACGACAAGCTGAATCTGTCCATGAACATGAAGACAAATATTGCATCCGTTGCAACTCCGCTGCAATATTTACTGCAGATAAGTTCCGATAGAGCAGCGTTTCACAATAAATCACGGCTCAGAAGTATCAAGATTTCATCGGTCATTAAAATTCAGTCCAACAAGCTTCATATTCAGATGTGGATGCACCCAACCAGGACATTCTAGACAGAGTGGATAGAAAACACGCACCGGGGGATAGCTAGCGTAATCTTGAGGGTATTGCGGATACCTGATGGGACAGACAAACACACAGATCTCTATTAGGTCCAGCCTTTTGCCTTGCTGCTATGAGCGGAAGTGCAGCGTTGTTCTCCATTCGTGCAGGATGAAACTTATCATGAAGACATTTCCGAGACTGCTCTTGTAATAATATACATTAATGCGAGAGCACCTGAAGTGGCTAGACACAGAGGTTGAGTGTCCTCATTTCAAACAATCCATATTGAGCCATCGCTTAAACCTTGTTTTCCAGGTCCGTAAATATGTGCAGGGGAAAACAAAACGAGGATACGCGACATTGCTGTCGCCAAGACCTCAGGTCGGTGTTCAATCAGTAGGATTAAGCCTTAGAGGTGTAAAACAAACCTAAAACGTACTCCGACATGAGCATTCATTCACTGTGATAGATAAGTGTGTTATCGATGAGCGAAATCCAGTAAGCCAAGAAAAACGGTGACTGCAGCTTAGAAGATGCTCAAACTGTTCGTTACGGTAGTTTCCAAAGTTTAGCGCAACATGAGTTATTTGCATCTGGCTATTTTGTGCAGCAAATGACGTACCCGCCATAATGAGAATAGAAGGCTGCTGGTGAAGGATGAGCATATGGTGAACCAGGTTGATGATATGAGCCAGCACCAGTAAAACCGGGCCCCCCCTGCTGAGGGCCTGCAGAGAAAGGAGAAAACGGCCGAAATCGGTTGCCTGAGGTGGATTAGAACTTTCCTTTATCAGTTTATCTCAAACGCATAGTCAAACCTGTACCTTTAGCTATACATTGATGAAATCGCAGAGTTTCACCATAGATCATAAGAGAGAATACTACACGTTGGCTGAAATCAAGTGGAACTTCGCGAACTACATTTAAGTATCAAACAACGACAAAAATGAGTCCAGGTCTTCATTCGAACGAACAAATTGAGGTTGCAGGCTATGTCATTCTAAATAAATTATGTTCCAGAATGCTGCGTTCCGATCAACGGTAAAGAGGGTAGGCCTATGATGGGTTTTAAATCAAAACTGAAAGTAATTGCTGTGGTTGTGCTATCAAATTATAAAGATTACCTCACTGTGAAAATCAGATTTAGGGTTTACACCCAGAAAAACCATAACTGTACCCGGAAAATCTAAACACTAGGTCAAACGAGAAAGATTGAAGGCTAGTCACTGTACCGTGCTGCCCATGAGGGCGATGGCGATGAGCACCCAAAGAAGCGAGGTTGCAATTGGCTCTCCTACCATCTATGATTGGGGTGGCGTCTACACACGCTTTCCTTGCTGATTCAGCATCCCGGAAGGTAACCTGCACACACACACACCTTATCTCAGTCATTCCAGGAACAACACACCTTCAAAACTGCTGTTGAAACCATTAAGATTGTTTGATTAGACGTTCAGTAGAGGTCGAACGCTTGATCGATTCTCACTGATATGACTAGAGCTGCGATAATTAATTGTTCGTTCGAACGTGAAGAATCTGAAAAAAACTTTGGTTTCGCAAATGTTCTGAATAATCAAATGACGCTCCCAGACCTTAGTCCATCGAAAATAAGTTCTTGCAAACGTTAAGTCGTAAAAGTGTAGCTAGAAGATGCATAATCAAAAAAATGCGGGTCACCAACAGTCACACGAGTTTAATTCAGAGCGAACTTGTAAGTCCACAATCCACACTGCCAACACTAGTCTGGGCTGAAACACTGTGTGAACTCTCCTGCATTTCATAAAATGGACGTCTCCGGTTGACGATCAGTTCAAGCTTAGAGACAAACAAAGGGTTGAGTGCGAACTCAGATCGAACTTCTGGTACCATATGTAGACCTGAAAGAAAATGAGACCTAAATGATGACCTAGCGATAACAATACCTCTCACTTGATTTTAAACCAGCGCGAACCATCCTCTGAAAACCAAAAATAACATCAAAAAAAACTATTTGTTTAAACAATCCTCGTAGCGTTGTCTCACAAGGTTGCAGTCCACCCAGACGATGCGTATCAACTGAACCCATTCACCTGCTCGTTGTTGAGTTCGTGCATCAGATTCGACAAGCAACCGGCAGACTAGCTCTTCGACGAGACAAAGGGCTCAACTAATCATCGCACCAGAAACAAGGTCCAAAAAGTAATATGAGACAGAGGGACTGATGACAACAGAATACTCACAAAACCATAGCCCTTGGATCTGCCAGTGTTCTTATCGGTGATGACAACAGCTTCCAATATGTCACCAAACTGTTCGAAATGACGACGCATAGTATCTCTTTGAGTCTCCCATGCTAGCCCTCCTACAAACACCTTCGTGTAAGTAGTATCGCCAAACTGGTTCCCCAAAGCGCCTGAACCTGTCCCACCCCCACCCGTCTGCTGGGCCATGGCAAGTGTCCTTCTATACGCTTTTATGTACCGTTCTATACAGTCCGCAGGGACTCTAACTACCTGTACAACCCGCCCAAAAAATGAACAGCAGGAGTCCCTATCCTGTCACCCAGCCAGCCTATTTTCAGAGAATGGTTCTCCCTCCTATTCTTTAGTCTCTGAAACTCCCTCGTTAGGGTCTAGATGAAGGGACGTCAGTGATCTTTTGGGATCCACTATTTATTCTCCAGTGGACATGATTTCCTTGCAAATAATATAAGAGAGCCACCCCTCCCCCCCAAGAACTGCAAAAGAACAACAGATGGTGTCAATTTCCTGAATATAGCAGTTGATGAGAAAGATGAACGCGCAGACAGCTCGACCTTCAAGCATACACTGATTTGCCAATCTTCTGAAGCTTCACAGACTCCAAGGGTATGTGTTCAAGAAACCAGCGAAGTAAAATCGAAAAAAAAAAAAAGAGACCAGAAGCAGTCCTAAAGTTTAAAAATACATGTTTCGCATTACGACGCGCAGATTTCTTCAAGCTGTGAAAAACATTGCGACAACTTCTCGGAATCTGTGTGACGGTAAGGTAAAATAAAAAGTTGGTGTAGATAGTTGACTTAAAGCGCGAAAAACTTCTACTGTTTCTCTTCGTGATGCCTAAACAACACTCTCCGAAGATGTCAAGCCAAGCTTCAATAACTACGGCAGATTAGAATGACCAGCCACAAAAATCCTAAGTAGCACTCGGTATAAGAAAATCCCCGTCCGAATACCCAAGCCCAGACGACCGGACTAAAAAATTTAAGTCAATCAGTAAAATGGTGAAGCCAAAGAAAAAAAAGGTTCTCAAATGAACAAAAGTTTTGCTACAGAAAGGGAGAAGGAGAAACCAAGACCTCAAACTCCACTACCTCGCTTTCCCACACCACTCAAACCATCTCACTTCAAATACCAACGGCAAGGAGAGCGTAAATATCACGCAAAACGTGCCCAAACAACACACCCCTCCGTCGAATTTCTTGGAATCCACGCTCGCGATCGAGAACTCACCTCCACGGGAGACAAACACAAGAACACCTACATGATATCTCACACGAAATCCCGGAGATCGGAGAACCCGGCCCGGAGACAAACTCATCGCTGAAACGGGACTGATGCGGGACTCATGAAAAAAAAATAAACAGCGAGACGCCTTCAGGAAGAAGAAGGAGACGAAAAAATAAAAAATAACAAGGGCGGGGGGAAAGAGTGAGAGAGAGATACGGTCTCTCACCAGCACGCAGCCGCCCGGCTAGAAGACTACCAAGCATCCGCAGTAACGACAACAGCGACCACAATCCATACCTTGGTCTACGACGACGAAACCAACACACTCACAACGCACACACACTCACACACACTCTCTCACTCTCACACACACACACACACAGTGTCGAAAACAAGCAACAGTGCACGGCACAAGGGCGTGAAGCCGTCTCTGTCGCTCTCGCGAGCACACACGCCAAGTCGATGCCACCCCCCCCCCCCCTCCCCTCCCCTACCAGCAGACGACCGCGACGTCGTGCAGGGGCGCCCGAGCTCGGGTGTGCGGGCGAGAAAGGGCACCAGGACGGGGACGGGGCGGGAGGGGTCCAGGTTCAGCGGGTGAGGAGGACACGGGTTACGATTCGCATTGGCAACGCCACGCTGGACCGACCTCCTCCTAGGGTGGGCTCGGGAAGATGGGGCCCGTGCGCGCAGGCAGACCCGCCCACCTCGCGCGGGTCCCGTCCCTGGTTGAGGTGGGCCCCTCTGCCGTGCCCACGCGGCAGCCGAAGAGTCGGTGCGCAGTGCTGGCACCCGATAAGTCGCACCATATTCCCAGGAATCGCGGCTTCCGTCCGTCGGATTCGCATCGCACGGCTGCGCCTGCCGAAGTGTGCCTCTGTAGTGGATAGGATAAGTGTGCCATCCTGGCGAGTGAGATAAGATTTCCACCCCCCTCTTTCCCTTCCCTTTGTTGTTGTTATTGTTGTTGCTTCTTTCTACTGCTGCTGTTCACTCTTCTCGTTTTCTCCCACTCCCTCGCTCTGTGTTGCTTTTACCACCCAACCCTCGCTTGGCTTCTTCTTCCCACCCCCTCTTGTCACCCTGCCTGGATGGATTCGATGACTTTCGGCCACAGCGCGACCGCAATTTGAGAGATTGGGTGATCACTCAGCGGTGGGCTGCGGCCAGCTTGGTGCTCGCTATTCTTAGACGCGCCTCATCCACGTCGGATTGACCCAAGGGTCGTGGATCCGCCGTCCAATGACACGACGCGGGTATGATGCCGATTCTTTCTTCCTCCTAACCCTAAGAAATGGCGTTTACTTTGTAGACATGGCAGCGGTAGAACTTCCCAGCAATTTTCTCATGTGGGTTAGGTTCCATTTTGGAGCCCAAGAATGATGGGCATGTGGTTTTTTAATAATAGTGCATTTCCTTATGACGTTTTGGGTGCAAGTTGACATAACACTGAGATCTCTCTGCTGCAGGAAAAAAAAAAAAATGGTGAGTTTCGGTGGTGGTCAACCACACTGATAGCAGTGATGTTGATATCAAGGAACAAATGAAGTCATTATCAGTTTGTGTGTATTGGCTTCTTCATTCAAAACTACAAGTTTTTTTTGTTAACGTTTCTAGGTGGTGTATTTGGGTATGATGTTACAAATTGATAAAGTTGTGATAAAGATCATCATCATTGTTATTATCATTATTTAATTATTTTTGTAATTTTTATTTGTTTACTGGGAATAATAGAAGTGGCATTAAACATGAGTTTTGATTCAACAAGTAATCCATTTTTTATTTTATTTTATTTATTTTTTGCTAACACTGCTCTACCACATGCTTGAAAAGACAGAAGAAGAAAAAGTAAGATTAAATAGTATTAAAACAAATAATGAGAAGGAGAGAAGAAGATTGTCCTCACTTGTATGAATCATGAGGCGAATCAGTATACACCCAACTAAATCAATTTATTATTATTATTATTATTTTCATTCACATCCAACTTGGATAATGAGCCTTTGACAAACACATCTGTCAAAGTCATGGATGAAAAGAAATAAAAATGAAAATGAAAAAGAAGCTTGGACTATTTCTTCCCTCAATATTCCTTTATTGTGTATGGCTTGAAAGTCTGAGTGTCTGTGGCTGAGGCTGGCAGTGACAGATTTTGTGCAGCAGCAACAGAACGGGATCAGCAAGGAGTGTACAGTTTAGTGCAAGCAATCTACCTCAGCAACAGGACATGCCAATCCAAGTGTACCACTACTAAAGTATACAGGGGTCTGTTCTGCATCTCCCCATTCTTTGCACTGCAAACCATTCTCTCCCACTCACTCCCTCTCTCACAAAACTGGCTGGAGCAACAACAACCATCTTGTTGCATCCTACAAGCTTCTAGAACCCACCGAGCTGAATCCAATATAGATACAAATGGAACAGCTTCCAGACTCCCTCCCTCCCTCATGCATTCCTAGGGGCTACTCACTGATGGCTTGACCAGAACTAGCCTAGGGGATTCTACAATGAGCTGGAACATTTGTCTTTCATCCTACTTGACCCTGCACATAAACAATGCACATGTTTTATATGTATGTGTCTGTGCATTCACATATATATGTGTATATATATATATATATATATATATATATGGGAATGTTAAATAGACCCAGGTTTTTACTAAATTGACCCACCATCCTGGAAAAAGGATAAAATAAAATAAAATAAAAAATTGTAGATTTATTTCTCCACTACTAGATGCAAAACCAATGAAAACCAACCACAATCATTCTGGGTAGGTTGATTTAGTAAAAATTGGGGTCTATGAAACATTCCCCTACATACTTATTTTGCAATGCCTTTTGGTGGGCATATTGTGACCCCAATTGGCCACAAAAATCAATACAAAATGTTCACTTTTCTTTTTAATGAGGTGTAAAAACAAAGAGAGGGGCCAAAAACAAATCCAATGAATAATCATTAATTTGGAATTGTTCAAATTCATTTTTCTTAGTTCTTTGTTTGCAGGTCTATGTGTGTAAAATTGGAATTTCCATCCCTAGTGTACCTGTGCTGTTATTCTTATATATATATTTGAGAGTGGTGTCAGGTGATGGATACTCTGGGGAGGTGAGGATGGAAGTGAGCTTGGCAGATTTCCTCCACATCTTCCTCCCATTTCCCATATGCCCACATTGTAACTTAGCATGTTCTCAATTTCAAGGCTGTCTCTCAATCACACACACACACATACATACATACATACATACATACATGCTTACAAAAGTGCGGGGAACACCTTTCTCTGTCTATCTATCCCCCTTTTTTTTTTAGCCCTTTATCTATAATTTGATCTTCTTTTGTCCCTCCCCACATCTCCCTACCCATCTGGCTCCATCCAGTACTGGTTTTGAGGTGGGGACCTGTCAAAGGGGCTGAGGTGGTTAGCATGTGGAACCCAGTCTCTTCTGCTCCTGGGAAGATTCTAAGCCTAATTCAAGAGGAGCAGGAGCAAGAGAGTGAAGAAGCAAGGAAGTGCCAGTTAGTGAGTGAGGCAGTCAGTTGGATGATGCAGACAGGGAGCAGCAGGGCACTTGGGTTTGCTTTGTCTCACTGGATTTGGATAAGTTAGGATGAAGAAGGATTGTGTACCCACACCAGCAGTATCACCACCCACCAGTACCATCCCCCCCCCCCTGGCTTGGCTTGTATTGTCTAACACTGTGCACCTTCTGACCATTGATGGGAATCTTCTCCACTATAACCCCACTACCCAGCTACACTGCTGCTGCAACTCCATCAACTCTTGACTGGGCTATATATGAATCAAGCCCTATGCAACAAACCTTGCTGGGATGAAACCCTACTTTTAAGAATTCAACAGATGATGAGAAAGTCCTAGTCCATGTGGGATACCAATATGCTGGCTGTGACTATGCTGAAGAGGAGTGAGTTGTTGTAGACCAGTCTTAGCCATAAATATCCATGATCTATATAAATATGTGTAATCCATGTCATGGCCACTTTCATGAGTAGTTAGGCAATTAGCCAAGGTCTGTGTGTATGGAAATAGATCCATCTCTGTGGTGTTTTTGGGATGGGAAAGGGGTGACATCTTTGCTTCCAATTCTTTCAACCAGGATACTAATTTGTTACTGTTAAGATTGTTAAGTGTGCTTTATCTGCTAAATATTGAAGGAAGGCAACGTTGACACAAGTTCTTTCTTTTATCCCTGCAAAACAATCATAACATTGTTTTAAGAGTTGCAAAGACCAAACTTGTAGTAGAAATTCATTGTAACAGTTTTGGGTGTGTATTACAGACTTTTGTCACTCCTTCATAAGGGAGAGTGTTCAGTTGCATGCTATATCTGGCAATAAATATCTTCAAATAATATGATCCTTCTCTCTATAAATACAAGTGTAAATATAGCACAGAAGTACACATAAATATTTTGTGGTGAGAATTGAGTACTTTCTTTATTAAATTAGTTCTCTCAGAGCAGAACATGTTCATCCTGCATTTTCTGCTTCTGTTTTAAGAGATATGATTCAAATTTTCCATTGCACATGACCATGAACTATGTTAGAAACTTATGAGAGACCACTTAGCCCATTTGATAGATCCACATCTACATAGTGGAATATTAGCATAGAGTGAAAGAAGGAACCATCACCTTTCATGCAGTGTGTGTGTAAAATATCCATCTGTCTATCTAGGGGCATGTGTTGTGGAGTAGCTGAGTAGCAAAGGAGTAAATTTCCCTTCAAGTCACATCAGCCCACCAGAGCCTCAGAAATTCTTCTTCTTCAACCACCGAAGTCAATGTGATCCACAAGGCACAACCACAGCTTCTGGATTCTCTCCGGATGAATGTAAGGATTCATAGATGAAAATACAATGGATAAATTCATGGGCCTTGTCAACATGTTCTTCGAAAACAGCCAGACCAGTGTTGCCCTGTACAGACCTTTGGGATTATGGGCACCTGCCCAGCAGATTCTCCTTCTGTTAACAGGCAATCACTCAGCTCCCTTGCTCAGAATACCACCACCCGAATAAAATTGAAAATAAAACTAATAAAGAATGCTTTCACAAAAGAAACGAGAGGGGGAAGAGGGAGACTATTAAAACCAATGCATAACCATCGACTGATGGTGGCTCTTAAACTGGAGGAAGAGGCAGCAATGAGACACACACTCATACGCAGTATGAGCAGTGCCTTTCCTTCTGGCCCCAGTTGCTGCCCGGGATAGAATCAACGGATGAAACACAAGGGAGCCATAAGAGGACTAGACGTTCATCCAAAAATCAATCCATATATTCATCCATCCAACCTCCGACCTGCCCGTAGCAGCACAGGGAAGAGTGCCCGTGGAAAGAAGCCAGCAGGGCTGAAAGTGGCAGTGAAGTGGCAGTGAAAGGAACGCCCTTGGAGGGGATCGGCCATGCTGGCAATGGTTAGCCACCTCCTCACATGGGGTGGCGCTGAGTGATCTGGAACGAGGAGGCCACGTGGGATGTGGCACAGTGGGTCGGAGGTCAGGCCTGGTCCGAGATCGGGAATCCACCCTGGCGTCCATCTGTCAACGTATTCATTCATCTGCACATCCACCCGTCTATTCATCCATAGCCCTATCTGTATGAGTGTGTGGATGCTGCCACCAAGGCTGTTCCCTTCCTGCCACCTGCCACTTCCACTCACTGACATGGCATCTGCCTGACGTGAAAGTCTATGGAACCACTTTTCGTTCGTCCATGTGTATGTTATATTATTCATCTATTATTATTTCATCCATCCATCTCTGTTCTGTAAAAACAAAGTCTTCCTTCTTCTCCTTCACATTTAATACAGATAAATTAAATTTGTTCACACTGCAGTTTCACCTTAATTATTATTATTATTATTATAAAGATAAAGAAGCTGTCAAGTTTCAAAGGTGCAAGATTTTTCTTATTATTTGAAATGAATTAAATTGAAGGTGCATGTTTAAAGGGATGACCGTTAAAATCGTATTACTGACAATGTTATTATTAGCAATATGATTGGGTTGTGTGAAATTATTTCCCGGTGCTTAATAACCTGTCATTTAGCCCAAATAAGTTTTATAAACACTAAAAAATCATTGTTTCAAAATTTCCAATCGGTTGTTTATTGCTGTATTTGAACGGCAGCCCGAATAAACAACGTCCTTTTTTGTTGACAATATTGATGTTCTCCTACTATAAATGTTAATAGTAATGTCAGGTGTTGAATTCATTGTTCGATTAATATTGTATTAAAGAGAACTATGCTTGAATTTAATACTAATGGTGGATTGGAATGTACGTTTGAAGACACTTCGTTTATATTTGTTATATTTGTTCAAAAGTTGATCCGCATTAATAATCTAGCTTTTGATATGTATGTAAGCATCTGGATTTAAAATATGATGTTTTTAATATAAGATTCTTACAATTTGATTCCTTTATTTAAAATAGAGAAGTATGTGTAAATCTTTTTATGAGTTTATCAATAACAATTATAATTACGAAGGTATTATAGTGCATCTTTTTCTTTTATTTTTTAAAAAATAATTAAGGATATTTTTTTGAAGAAAATATATAAATTAAGATAATCTATGGGAGTATAATCTAATCTTATAGAGGTTGAAATGATTTTACAAACAATGAATTAAAAAAATTCCTATTGCAAAAATTGTTCATGTATTTTTATTTAATTTAATTTAATTTAATTTTTTTAAAAGTTTGCAGTAGATGGTGCTTTGCTGATTATATAATATGTTCAGCAAATAACAATTCAATATTTGTAAGAATTGACGTGTTTTATATAAATTACTATAAAAAATTAATAACAAAATTTCTTTACTTGGTCACTTAAAAAATATTGTAATACTCTTCTGTAGCACACACACTTATATATATATATATATATATATATATATACACACACACATAATAATCACCTTTTTATTTATTTATTTCCAAATAATT